CCTACTACAACAACCAAACACTCAACTACAACTACAAATATACAAACTACAACAACCCAATACTCATCAACGAACACAACTTTGAAAGCCTACCTACCCTCATCTGCTACTAGCGTTACACCCATATCTACTACAACAACACAAAACCCAATCCCAACCAGCCCTGTATCTACTGCTATCAACAGCTCTAAAGAAACTATATCCGTACACACCAAAACAATGGCTGCAGTTACAACCACAGTCCAAACCCTAAATACTTTCCATGCTTCAGGAAAATGTAAGTTTGATTAAAGTTGATATATTAGAGTGTTCTGTATAATACTAGAAGTACAAACCTTTTTATTATAAATAATGCAAACTAATATATAAGTTTGTTATTCTAGATTATATTATTGCCCTGAATGGCAGGATCTCTACAACTTTATCTCAGGAAAATGACTATGAAACCATTGTGAAACAGGTCAGTAAATGCACAAACTTTAATGTTCATTGCAATCTGAGTTTTTCTTTTTTATCCAACTATTTAGTATGATTCTACTGTAAGTGCCATAGATTTTTCCTTCCACTGCATCTACTTTTTATCTCATAGTTTTTTTTAAATTTCACTCTTTCTGGAAAAAATGGGGTTTAGGGGCCTATTTCCTATATCTGTTGTTGGAGGCAGACCTCAGTCTTTGTAAAAAGTATTCTGTTGATTTCAAAATGAAATGAGCCCAAATACATAACAGTTGTGATTTGTATCTGTTATTATTGGCATATAGAGATGTATAATATTATACTAAATACATCTGAATAAACCCTTTTTTTCCATGTAGATCAAGGATGAACTAGTTAGACGAGGATTCCCATCAGCCATGAGTGTTCGCCTCCTGAAAGCAATTACCACAAATGGTCTGTAGAGGCCAAATTTGAATATGATCACTGTAAATATTGTTCTCTAAAGTTTGAAGTATTTTTTTTTTCTTTTCCTTAAGTTTTGTAAGATTACATATCTCTTGGAATTGTACATTTTTGTATGTAAGAAACAAAAAAAATATATAATTTTTAGTCCTTAAATGTTTCTCATTGATGCAAAGGCAAGACAAATTTATTCTAACCCATCTAAAGTCAACTAAAATCCTCTTGTGCAGGCACTTAAATTTAACTTTATACAGTTCCTTCTGTGTTTAAACCTTTAAGTAAGCTTCATTTCAAATCTACCATTCTACTGTTCTACTTTAATTGAGTATTTCAGAGTGGCCTGCCACTGTGTTGTCACCAAAACAGAAACACTGTGATAATCTGAGGGACCAAGTTGGGATGCATAGAGGATACAGGAAAAATTTCACCAAAAAGTTCCAACAAATAAAGTTTAAAGTAGCCTAAACAGGTCCAATTAATACAACTCTACTAAAAACAACTGACAAAATACTGAGCAAACAAAAAAAATAAACAACTAAACTTAATACTGACCTAAAATAAATACTAAAATGGATTCTTTATATAATGATTTGATAAAAATATTTTAAACCATAGGGAGAACAGAAATAACCATCACTATTAACTAAGGGCCAAATTATCTAAATGAACCTTCACCATCCCCTTGTTGATAAGCCAGTGGTATATTAGTGTTGAGCTGGAATTGTGGTCCTACATCCTTTCAACATTGCCTGCACCCTTTGTTCGAATAGGAAGAAGCCAGGTCCCCAAAGCAGATAAATTAAAAAGAGAACATAATTGGTACAACTGATAACCAGACAATGTCATTTTGTGTACACATCATATAATTTTTATTTTAGCTATATTTGTAAATTAAATATCTAAAATATATATGTTTAGTGAAACACAAGTCAGTTACAATCTTACAAACAAGTAAGGTAAATGTGTGGACTGTTTTAGCAATTTATGGCTTATGCCTTTACATGGGGCTAAAGTTTTCCTTTTTTGTATCAGTCATTTCATAAATATTTTTTATTAATCATACACTATTCATTTTCATACTTAAATCATTCACTTTGGTTTTGCCACTGCTATGTGCATTTCTTTTTCTATTTTTTTATGTTTACAGCACTTTCAATAGTCTTGCTACTAAAATGTGCTTCATATATAAGTTCGCCCCTCCTTACGTTCCAAAATAATCCTACATTGAAAATATTAGTGAAGTCCAGTTTATTGTCTGAACTGATTCAAAAGTTTTATTAGAGAAACTGAGCGGATTGCATCATTGCATTCACTGATTTGCAAAATGTAATGCTACTGGGTGGGTATTTAGAATATCAAGAGTGGTAAGATACTTGCATTGTGTGGTTGACTTTGCAACAATCTCTAACAGAGCATGCATGTACCAACAGTGAGATGAGGCAACAGGAGGAGATTTGCTCTTCATTAATTACAGTTTCAAAATATGCTTAAATTATCCACCAGGAAATAATGAGGAGGATTTAATTTAACGAGACTTACCATGTCCCTTGTCTTCCGTGTAGGACCAAATAACTCAGATATCAAGTCTCAATTTATCTTGTTCAGGTCATATTTCTAACTTATGATGACATATTTAAGATTAAATACAGATAAAAGGTTGGTGTAATAACACAAAACAACTAAAGGATTTATGACTTCTGCATTTTCTGTGAAGCTTTTTTTTTTCTTTCACTTTTTTAGGTGTGATAAATTTCACCAGACATTTCCTGTTTTTTATTAAACTATACACATGTTAATTATACAAATAAAGGTGTGTTTATATGAACTCTGTGTCTAATGAGCCTCTCATTGTTTGGACCCGACTCATCATGTTGCTTATTGTGCGGCTGCTGTTCAGCCATGCGGTGCCAATTATAACCATCTTGTTTTTAGCTACTCCACTTAAAGGTGCTGTAGGAGGTCGTGGAAAACCGGTTCCAACAAGCTATATTTTTGAACATAAACAACCATGCCTCTCCCTTCAGACCACCCCTCAAAACCACACCTTCAAAAAACATGAACGCACGTGCTGTCTGCAGCATGTCTAGAGCAGCATGTCTAGAGCAGCAGGAGGATTGCTGACGATGTAGAGCGCTATGATCATCCTCTGAAACAGTTTATTAACGCCTAAATGAAATCAAAATGCCAAAACATGTTTGCTTTTATTAGTGGGGATTTTGTACATGAAAAGGGCCTATCAGCTGCCACGGCAAACCGCAAGTAGGCGACCGGGCCATAGTCTGCTGTTGAATGGGATTCCTAGTGACAGCACACCGCCGTTGTATGGGGGTCTGAGTGGCTTCGACAGAAA